CGGGAGGATGTTGATAAGCTCTTCGAGATGTTTGAGAGACTCATTTTTGTCCAGCAGACCAGAGAGGAAAGAAAGGAGTTGACTGATTCCCCTCCACCCCTACCACAATATGAGCCACATCCACACCGAGAGGATCCAGTACAACCCAACTCCTCTGTAGTACCATCTTGCACCACCACAGTACAATTCAGGGCCTCCACCGTATAAGTCGGTGCTGCCATAAGGCGACCCAGTTCCTCCCCAGCATAATCTAATTCCCCTTCAACAAGACCCAGCTCCGCCTATAATGGAGCCAAGCTATATTGAGAGGTACAAGAGACTTAATCCATCTACTTTTGTAAGGGCATCCACTTTTAAAGAAACTTAGTACTGGTTAGTAGAGACAGATAATGCCTTCGTGACCCTTGGGGTGGTTCCTAAATAGAATGTTGTCCTTACCACTTATATGCTCATAGGTGAGGTAGGGAATTGTTGGCAACTTAAGCAAGCTACTCTACCCACTTCAGTCATATGAGAACAGTTTTTAGCAATCTTCAATGTTGAATATCTTCCAGAACATCTCCGATATCTGAAAAAAAAATGAAGTTTACACATCTGGTCCAGGAAAATTTGTCAGTATGAGAATATGCTTGGAACTTCCTGGAGTTAGGTCGGTACTCCCATGAGAGCGTAACAGATGAAGGTAGGAAAGCAATAAGGTTTAAATGAGGTTTTCGTCCTGAGATTGGACAACAACTATATGTATTCGAGCTTGACATTTATTCGATAGTTTTGGCCAAGACACAATTAATAGAGAGGAACCTCCGCATCTTTTCCTCCGTAGCAGGAACTCCAAGCTCCAAGCTCCAAGTTTCGTATTGCAAGTCAACACATACTACACTGAACCAGCAGAACAAGAGACCCAGACCCGCACCTCAAGCTCCTCCCCTGGCCCCGATAGCAGGACGCGGCAAGATCTGCCAGTGCTGTGGCAAGGATCATAGAAACCGATTTTGCTACCACCTCAAGAACACTTGTTATATATGCAGGAGTGTCCAACAGTATGCGAGCGAGTGCCCAAAAAATCAAAATCATACCGGACCTGTAGTTCAAGATAGAGTCTACACACTCACCCAATAGGATGTCAAAACCAAACCAGATGTGATACAGGGTGTGTATATTATCTGAAAATATCTTGCACATGTTTTAATTGATATTGGTGCTTCACATTCTTTTGTTTCCCATGTTTTTACTCAAAATTTAAATGTGTTATTTAAAAGTCTTGATTTTGTATTGTTGGTATCTATACTTGATAATAAAACATTACTGGGGAATGTTATATACAAAGTTTGTATCATAGAGATAACAGGTAGGGAATTGAGCGTATATCTAATAGCAGTGGATACGGGGGATTTTGATATAATTTTGGGAATAAACTGGTTAATGGCATATCACGCTACTGTGAACTGTTATCACAAGAAGCTTCTATTCAATATTCCTAATGAAGAGTATTTTACTAATTAATAAAATCTTAGATATTGTTGACACATAGTGACTGTATTATTTATCAAATGCTTTTAATTTAACTATTCTTTTCCATATTAGGCAAACCTAAGGAAGAGATTTGCATTCAAGATATCCTTGTTGTCTGAAAGTTTTCGGATATATTTCTTGATGAAATACCAGGACTTCTAGTAGATCGAGAAGTTAAATTCATCATTGATTTTCAGCCTGGCACCCAACCCATTTCAGTTACCCCATACCAAATGAGTCGTATCGAAATGGAAGAACTGAGAAAATATATCAAAGAGTTACAGGATAATGGATTCATCCAACATAACATATCATTTTGGGGTGCCGAAGTTACGTTTGCAAGAAAGAGTGGTGGGTCCATAAGATTGTGTATAGATTACAGAGAACTAAACACGACCACAATTAAGAATAAATACACCCTTCTCAGGATTAATGACCTTTTTAATCAGTTATAGGGTGCTTAGATTTTCTCCAAAATTGACCTACGTTCAGGATACTATGAGGTGAAGATCGAGGTAGAAAACATTCTTAAGACAGCTTTTAGGATCCGGTATGAGCATTATGAATTTCTTGTTATGGACCCGAGGAAATACTAACGATTTCAGTGAAACAAATAATAAATGTACTAGCATTCGAGTTTTATTAAAAATATGCTCCATTGATTGTTTTATATTTTCTACAACTATTTGATTTTTTCGTATCAGTGGTAAGACGTTGATATTCTTACTAAGCTACTCACCCTTTTATTATTAACCATTTCATATCAGGACGACCAAAACTCATATCCTAAACAGCAAGAAACTAGTTAAGAGATTGTCTCTTCCACTTCGTCCGTTTCGAATAAAGGTTAATCATATTTGTTTTCTTTTATGTTTTTTCCTATTTAAGTTTTAAGGGCATTCTCATATCTATATTAGGCATTTTAAGTAAACTGTGCAATGAACGTAACCCTAAACTTTATTTACTTCCGCTAAATTATAGATTTCAATATTATTTATTTGATTATTACTGAGTTATACACTCGGAATCCCTAATAGGGATTGTGGGCTTTTACAATATTATCAATATACTAGTTAATTAAATATTTAGTCATATTAAATTAAATATTATAAGTCATTCACTATTAATTTATAATATACATATAACAAAATTTATATCCCCAATAAAAATTTATACTCATAATCTTTAAGAAAAATATAAATACTTACCATTGGATTATTGTATTCGGGGTATTTTCATATGTTGTTTGATTTTTATGTTTACCTATCCTAAATTAAACTTTATTATATAGGAATAATGAACCTTATATTGGAAACTAACACAAAAAAACATTGAAAAAAAAAATTAAAGGAGAGATGAATTTGTTTCTAGAAGAACCATATTGTATATGCATTAGCTACATATATATATATATATATTTCTTGGAGCATTCTTTCTTTTTAAAAAATATTCTTCTTTTCTGTAAAGTAAGGAATATATATCGCTTTATTTTTATTTTTATTTTTAATTATTTTAATATTTGTGAGAATATATATTTATATATATATAGTTTAACCGAGTTAAATGGTCTGGATAGAGCCGTTTAAGCTTAGTCCAACTTAGCCTTTGTACTAATTCAGGCCCAGGTCCAGGTCATGCCCTTCCTGTCAGACCTGATCGAATACAATAAAATTGTGGTGAGCTGAACTGGACTAGATTTTAATAGGCCCAAAAGGAATTTTTAGACATCTCTAATTCCAATTACAAAACCATCACAGACATATATCTGTAGTAATAAAAGTTTATATCAGATTTTTAACTTATTATGACTAATCTTAAATAAATTTTTTAACCGTTATTCAACAATAAAATACGTTTTTTAAACGTGTTAAAAAATATATGTCAATATTTATAAGAGTGCTAAAATCTCAAAAAATTTACACTCTCTCTTTGGAACTAACAGAAATATTTTACTGCACAATAAAAAGTTATTAAAATTTTAAGAAATATATATATATATATTTTTTTTTTGTATCACGTATGTATCACTTTTAAATGTTGAAGTTAAATTTAAAAACTATTACATTTCATAAATTATTATTACATTTTGTCTCATCTTTTTATTATAATAAATATGAATCACTTTGTTACTATATTTTATATATTAATATTCAAAATATATTTACAATTCACTTAAATCACTTGCAAAAAGTATATAATTCGTAATTAATAAAAATATTTTATTTGGTTTATTGGAGATTATATGATCATATCAGATTTTTGTTGTATTATGTTATATAATTTGTATGTAGATAGAGACATATGACCCAGGGTATTACAACAACTAGTATTCTACCTTTTTTTTTTTTTTTTTGTAGAATTTGGATCAATTTTGATTTGTTATTTAATTTAATATTTTTAATTTTCTTTTATTTTATGATAAACTTCAATTTTAACTTTTAATTCAATCCGGAAAAGAGGTTGAATCAAGAACAAAAGAAGATGGCCGAATTACTGCTATGGGAAGCACCCTTTCTATTTCAGAACAATTATATATATACATACACGTATGTGGTAAAATAAGCCATAAAAATATGTATATATATATATATATGTATGCACATTCTCAAAGAGGTTCACATTCATAACCAAAGTAAACTTAAATCTGCAGTTATTGAGGATGAGAAGGAATACAAGATTATAAATATATATAGATATATATATATATATATATATATATATGTAGATGCTATCTTAACATCTAAATGACTTGATTAGATTTATATATAACATTAATAAAAATTTTATCATTATTGAATTATTTAAACATGCAAGTTTTTAAATATTAATTATGAAAATGACGGAAAAATGGGTAACATATAGTAAATTTATTAATTATTTACATGATATACATAGATTAATCATAGAAGTAATTTCACATTGATCATAATATTTATATAGAACCGAATTTAAATGTTAGTTAACATTTACATTCACTTAATATCTAATTTTATTTTATTTTTTTAGTTTACTGCAAAAAGTGAAGCGATGAGACATTCTAACACATTAGTATAACTTCTTTGTTTCTACGTGATATGATCAATTTGGTCCCGTTTATTTCAACACAAAAATTATTATGTAACTTAATTAATTTTTGTTTTAATTAAGAATTTTTATTTTAATTAAGCTGATTACAATATATCAAAATTTACGAGTCTAAATAAGCTGATTATAATTAATCTTTCTAATTAACGGTACATAAACATTGATTTTTATTTCAATACATAAAAATCATTTTCTTATCATATATATATATATATATATATATATGTATATGGCGTCGTCATTTGCTCGAAACAGTTCAATCATATACGAGATACTCCTTCAAAGCAGTTGAATCATGCATCTACATTATCTTCATATTATTTCTTTTCACACGGCTAATCGTCTCTCTCTCTCTCTCTCTCTCTCTCTCTCTCTCTCTCTCTCTCTCTCTATAACGAGAAAATTCGTTCACTAACCCCTCCCCATCTTCTTCCTTTATTTTTCTTTTCTGCAACTAAAATATCAATAATAGCCATGAACGTTAAGCTTTTAATTTTCTTTTGCTTCAAGTTTCAATGCACGTCGGAACAGAATGTTACTGCTACCAAAGAAGATTACACTGGGAACCGAAATACAGTTTTTAAATACAAAATTGCAGCCATATTCTCAGTTATCGTGGCGGGTGCAGTCGGAGTTTGTCTCCCGGTTCTTGGCAAAACCATCCCAGCTTTGCATCCGGAAAATAACATCTTCTTCATTATTGAGACTTTTGCTGCAGCCGTCATACTCTGAACCGGATTTATTCACGTTCTTCCCGAAGCTTTATATGATTCTCACGTCTCCGTGCTTAAAAGGGAGTGCATGGGAGTTTCCTTTCACTGGGTTCATTGCCATGGTGTCCACGATTGTAACTCTGATAATCGACGCTTTTGCCACCAGCTATTATCAGAAGTCAGTGGTCAAGCGCACTAGAACTCATGCCGGAAACGACGAGAAACTCGGAGAGGGAAGTGGAAGCTCGGTTCACGCTCGTGCAACTCACAGTCAAGCTCATAGCTCGATCTCTTTTACTGCAGAGTCTGAGTCAGAGCTTCTTCGTCAACGAGTCATCTCACAGGTGGGTTAATTAATTATAATTAGTGACTTTTTATTGTTTTATTTGAATCATTATCTTTAATTTAAAGTTGATGAGATGTATATTTGATATTTTAATCATCCAGATTTGATTGTCAATAATAAAATTGCTTTTTCTGAATAAAAAAAGGTTAAAGAAAGTGGGATAAAAATTTGGATTTTAATTTATATTTTTTTAGTTGGATACGCAGGTTTTAGAATTGGGAAATATTCTGCACTCGGCGATAATTGGAATTTTATTGGGTGCTTCTCAAGAAGTCGAGACAGTAAGAACACTGTTACCAGTCTTGAGCTTTCAATCACAAAGGAATGGGACTCGCAGGCTGCATTTCTCAGGAAATCCAAAAAACCATTTTTGTTTATTTTAAAAATAACATGTATTTATTTATTTTTTATTTTTTTTAATGTAGAAATAAATTTTTAATTTGCACTTTTTATTAAAAAATATAAATTAATTAAATTATTTAATAATTTATGGTAGGCAAAATTCAAGTGCGGAATTGTCACGATCATAACAATCTTTTTTCTCTTTGGCCACTCCAATTGGAATCGGAATATCAAATGTGTACGAAGAAACCAACACCATAGTTGAGGGAATCTTGATATACATGTCGCTTGTCGATTTCATGAACCCAAGAATGCAGAGTAATGGAAAGCTTTCAGTTAATAGCTAGTGGAGCACTGTGTTGGAAAGGAGAAGAAAGAGAACAATGGAGAAAAATTACTTTGATTTTTCTGATAGTATTCATGGATAACAAAAACTATATGCAGCTTGTTGTACAATGGCAAAGAGAAAAGACAAAAAAAAAAAAACGGTTATAATTAACATATTAATTTTATCTGATCTAATCACTAATTAATCTTAATACTCCCCCTCAAGATAGAGAATACAAATCTATTATACCCATCTTGTTCAATAAATTGTTAAACTGTGTGGGATGAAGAGCTTTTGTCATTAAATTTGCTAGTTGATTCCGAGTGGATATATGTATTGTTTTCAAAGTACCATCTTGAATTCTTTCTCGGACAAAATGACAGTCAAGTTCAATATGTTTTGTGCTTTCATTATATACTGGATTCGAAGCAATGTGTAGAGTTGTCTGATTATCACAGTAAAGCAATGCAGAACTTTGATGTTACACCTTTAAATCTCGCAACAAATTCAGAATCCACACTATTTCACATGTAGTATTGGCCATGGAACGATACTCGGCTTCCGCAAATGACCGAGATACAATTTGTTGTTTCTTTGATTTCTATGAGACTAACGAAGATCCAAGAAAAACACAATAACCAGTTAGAGATCTTCTAGTGTCAGGACATGTGCCCCAATCAGCATAAGAAAAAGCCTTAATCTGAATGGTAGAGGATGAAGGAAAGAAGAGACCTTGTCCAGGTGTTCTCTTGATGTACTGAAGAATCAGTAAAGCAGCCTGAAGGTGACTGGTCCTAGAAGTAGCTAAGAACTGACTCAGTTTATTGACAGAATAGCATATATCAGGACGAGTGATGGTTAAGTACAACATTTTTTTAATCAGTCGCCGATAACTTGTGATATCACACAGAGGTTTTCCATCATCTTGGGACATCTTAAGATTGGGTTCTATGGGAGTAGATGAGGACTTACAACCAAGGTACCCAGTTTCAGTTAACAGATCCAAAGCATATTTTCTTTGGCATAAGGTAATTCCTGTGTCATTTCTTGCAATTTCAAGTCCAAGAAAATATCAAAGAGCTCCCAAATCTTTCATTTTAAATTTTTGTTTGAGTGCAACCTTAAGTTTTTGGATGGCATGATTATCGTTACCAGCAATAACAATATCATCAACATACACCAACAATACTAGAAAAACATTGCCCTGGTGCTTGATAAACAATGAGTGGTCACATTGTGACTGATGGAAACCTTCTTGAAGTAATACTTATGAGAACTTGTGAAACCATTATTGGGAAGCTTGTCTCAACCCATAGATTGACTTGTGTAGCCGACAAATAGGTTGATGTGGAAGAGTCTCCCCCTCTTAAGGAGAATAGCCTGGAGGAATATTCATATAAACTTCTTCGTGAAGGTCACCATGAAGGAAAGCATTGGTGACATCTAACTGAGTCAGACTCCAACCATGAATAGCAGCTAGTGAAAGCAAAATTTTTACAATAACCAATTTTACAATAGGAGATAAAGTGTCAATGAAATCAATGCCAAATTGTTGTGTGTAGCCCTTAGTAACCAGACGGGCTTTGTGTCTCTCTACAGTCCCATCGGCTTGATATTTAACTTTATAAACCCACTTACAATCAACAAGTTTCTTCCTAGGTGGAAGGGAAACAACAGACCAAGTATTATTGTTCTCTAAAGCACGTAGCTCCACATTCATAGCGGTCATCCAAACATCGGACTAGACAGCCTCAGAGAAGGTGGTAGGCTCAGTGTGGGAGGAAATGGTAAAAATAAAGTTGTGATATTGAGGTATAAGCTTTGTATAAGTAAAGGAATGACGAAATGGGGTAAAGTGCATGTGTATTTGTATGGTAGCACTGATAGTCAGACAAATAAAGAGTGGTCGTATGACACGCAAGGTCAGATGATAGGGTTTGTGAAAAGTCATGCTGTGAGTGAGTAGGTGAATCAAGAGAAGCTGGTGAGTGTGTATATGTTTGGAGAGGAAGAGGTAAAACACGATCATGAAAAAGGTCATTGTGAATGGGACTAGGTGAGTGGGATGAAAGAAATGGAAAGATATGTTCATAAAAAATGACGTTTCGAGAGATGATGATTTGATCGCTCTCGATGTCAAAAAGTTTATATCCTTTGTAACCCGAAGGGTAACCGAGGAAGATACAAGCCTAAGAATAAGGTGAAAATTTATGGCGATGACTATCGAAAGTGGAGCAATAGCATAGACAACCAAAGATACGCAAATGATCATAAGATGATTTTTTGTGAGTTAATAGTTCAAATAGAGTTTTATTAGATAACAAGGAGGAAGGTGTACGGTTGATCAGGTAAACAGCAGTCAAGACGCAGTCGCCCCAGTAGATAATAGGGACAGGGGATTGAAATAGTAAGGCACGTGCCACATTTAAAATGTGTTGATATTTGCACTCGACAACAGAGTTTTGTTGGGGAGTGTCAACACAGGAATGATAAGAAACAATGCCTTTTAAGGTGAAAAATGAATAAAAATTCAACTCATACGCATTTTCAGATCTCACAGATTTAATAAGAGTTTTATATTGTGTAAGGATGAGAGTATAAAAGTCAGAAAAAATGGCAAGAACATCCGACTTTTGACGAAGAAGATACACCCAAGTAGTGCGAGTGCAATCATCAATAATGGTAAGAAAATATTTGTATCCCTCGATAGTAGGTGTAAAAAAAGGACCCCAGATGTCAATGTGGATTAAATCAAATGGACGATCAGATAATTTGTTGTGAGAAACAAAAGGCAATTTACGTTGTTTAGCCAAATGACAAATTTTGTAATGAAAAATATTCAAAGTCTGTAAATCTTTATTAATGTACTGAAGTTTTACATAGGAAGGATGACCCATTCTAAAGTGTCATAGGCTACTTTTAGAATTAGCATATACAGAATTAACAGCGAAAAAATGAAGATGTCTAGTAATTAAGTAGTAGAGGTTACCAATGCATCTACCATTCCCAATCGATAAGTCCCGAGTGTGGTCCTGGATGACACAAGAATGAAGAGAAAAATTAACCGTACAGTTGTGGGTGGTGGTCAACATGCTTACACTGACAAGATTAAAGAAAAAATGAGGGACAAATAAAACATCATGTAGGGTTAGGGTGTCGATGAGGAATACATTTCCAAGTTGAGTGAATAGCACTGAACTACCATTTGGTAAAGTGACTGAGATGGGTTCAACATGCTTAAGGGAGGTGAAAATGGTGGGTGTGCAACATATGTGATGTGTGGCTCCAGAGTCAATAATCCAGCATTTAGAAGTAAGTGTGTGTGTGAAACTGGAAAGGCAGAAGCGTATGGATGATATACCTGCCTCGTGAAGGCCAAAAGTGGCGTTATTGGTGGAAGGAGAGAAGCTGTTCGGCGAGATGTTGGAATGCGCTTGGTGAAGTCGTGCGCTTAGGTGGGCAATAATACTTT